CCAATGGATGCAGTAAAACTCTTACTGAAACTTAAACCAATGGATGCAGTAAAACTCTTACTGAAACTTAAACCAATGGATGCAGTAAAACTCTTACTGAAACTTAAACCAATGGATGCTGTAAACCTTTTGCTAGAACTCAAACGGACGGCGGTCGTTTGTTCCCCTCCCCAGGTGTGGTACAGGGTGATACAGATTGTGATCAACAGAGACGACGTCCAGGGCTACGCCGCCAAGACTGTCTTTGAGGTATGTACAGTGGTCAGTCCAGGCTGAAGTGGGTGGTTGGCGGGTGCTCTGGTGTGGTTTGCTCTTTCTTTCCTATAAAACAACTATCGTCCTTATCTCTCCTCCTTCTTTTTTGTGTTTGTTACTCGCTTGTAACTCCTCTAATCTTCTGGTGCTCATATGACCGTATGCAGTTGCGAGCGTCTTAAAACCTTTACTAAAGCTAAAACTTTCTGAAAGGGCAGTTCTCAGAAGAACTAGTTCAGTCAGATGTCCGATAACTTGATTTTTTTATTTGCTTGTATAATATACGTTTTGTTTGTTTTGAGGGATGCTGGGTTTTTTATTTTCTCGTTTTGTTCTCTTATTTCCGTTATTTTCACTAGAAAAATGGAGATATGACAAGAAAGCCCTGAAGTCGCGATCTATCATCCCTATCTCTTCTCCTTTTTTGTGTTTGTTCCTCCCTTGTAACACCTCTAGTCTTCAGCACTTCTATATAACCTAGTTGTGTTGCAAGTGCTGTAAAACGCTTGCTAGAACGTAAAACAGAAGCCTGTGTGTTTGTTCTCAACCCTCTATGTTTGATGTAGGCTGTGGAGATGGTGAGTGGGTGGTTGGCGGGTGCTCTGGTGTGGTTTGCTCCTTCTTTCCTATCAAACATCTGTCGTCCTTGTCTCTTCTCCATTTTTTTTTGGTGTTTGTTCCTCCCTTTTAAGACCTCTAATCTGCGGCACTTATATATAGCCTAGCTGTGTTGCAAGTGCTGTAAAACGCTTACCAAAACAAGGGGATGGTGATTGCGTAACCTTCGTGTGTTTGTCTCTCCCCTCAGGCTCTGCAGGCCCCGGCATGTCACGAGAACATGGTCAAGGTCGGAGGCTACATCCTCGGGGAGTTCGGCAATCTGATCGCAGGAGACCCACGCTCAAGGTCAGTCTCGAAAAATAATTTTGTACCCCCCGGGGTTGTATTCTTCACATTTTAGAATACTTCTAGTACGAAGATCTCTTTGAAACTTTCAGTATTACTCGAAAAATAATTTTGACAGACTGCTATGCAAAGCGTGCGGATCGGAATAAGGAGTAATTTCCTCTTTGGAAAGTGGTGGCACAGAGTTCCCCACGTGATATGGATGCGATAGTAAAACACGATGTATGGATAGGGTTAAAAAAAATGAGTTAGCTCAAAAATGAGGTTTCTAAATGTTTACCCCTCTCTCTCTGGTCTCGTGGACAGCCCCCTGGTTCAGTTCCAGCTGCTTCACTCCAAGTACCACCTGTGCAGTCCCAACACACGCGGTCTCCTGCTCTCCACCTACATCAAATTCATCAACCTCTTCCCTGAGATCAAGACCAGCATACAGGAGGTGGGTGTGTGTGGGTGTGTGTGTGTGATGGTTGCCTCTGTGTGTGTGTGTATGTGTGTCAGACAGTCCCAACACGCGAGGCCTGCTGCTCTCCACCTACATCAAATTCATCATCCTCTTCCCTGAGATCAAGACCAGCATATAGGAGGTGGGTGTCTTTGCCTGTGTGTGTGTATGTGGGTGTGTGTGTATGTGTGTGTCAGACAGTCCCAACACTCGAGGCCTGCTGCTCTCCACCTACATCAAATTCATCAACCTCTTCCCTGAGATCAAGACCAGCATACAGGAGGTGGGTGTGTGTGGGTGTGTGTGTGTGATGGTTGCCTCTGTGTGTGTGTGTATGTGTGTCAGACAGTCCCAACACGCGAGGCCTGCTGCTCTCCACCTACATCAAATTCATCATCCTCTTCCCTGAGATCAAGACCAGCATATAGGAGGTGGGTGTCTTTGCCTGTGTGTGTGTATGTGGGTGTGTGTGTATGTGTGTGTCAGACAGTCCCAACACTCGAGGCCTGCTGCTCTCCACCTACATCAAATTCATCAACCTCTTCCCTGAGATCAAGACCAGCATACAGGAGGTGGGTGTGTGTGTGTGTGTGTGAGTCGGTGTGTGTGTGTGTGTGTGTGCATGTACAGG